CTTAAGTAGAATGGTCATTTCACCATGCCAAATAGTTGAAATTCTATTGAAATGCGATTATTATGTTAACATTGGCAGAATTGTCCTGCAGTGTTTTACTCTTACCTTCTTATTATAAATCCAGGACTAACTTTTAGTAGTTTTAAACCAGTGGTTCTTAACCTTTTAGTCATTAGGGACCATTTTATAACTTTGCATGGCAACCCCGAACCACCGAGGGGGAGAATTTGCTAATTTACGGTCAGTTACACAATCGTCTATTAAGGTTTAATGACTTTAAGCTCCAATAAAGGTCAAAATTAAATGGGTAATGTCACTTTAAACTAATAATGGACGTTTGTGCAATTGGCTGTTATAATAGTCAGCCATCGAGTTTTTTTCTCAAATACAAAAACCATGAACTCAGTTATTTTTTTATGTGTGTAATTATATGGCATCTGAAAAAACTATATTCGTGTAATTAAAAAACGTTTTAAAGCAAACATATGTTAATGTAAATTTCGAGTTTACTTTATGTTAATAATATAATCGGCTATGAAACTTTATTTAGAAAACATATTATAAGGTACTTACTATGAAGTGTAAGCTAAAAAACAATAAATAATGCCTTTTACGAATTACAAAAGACATAATCTAGGTAGGTATATACATTTTTGTTTTATTTATACTTTTTTTAAACTCAAATATAAAAAAATGTAATCAGTTATTTTATTAAACTTTATTGGTAACTAGAAGTACTGAAAAATCAATGTATTATATTTATTCTAAAAGACCGTTATATATTTAAAATCATAACAACGCCTACCTAATTAAATTATTTTAACAAACGTCGCAATAAGTGAATGAACTAGTGGGCTGTTAGTTTTGTACTTTTTCCTTTGAGGAATTATATAATTTTTATATTTGGTAAACCAATTATTTTATACAATGTTACATCATAAACATTTTCATTTCGCTTTATAAAGAGTTTCCTTACCTTTCAATGAGGAAGTATTTTAAGCAAAAAAGAAAGCACCAAAAAGCACCTCACGAGATGGCAACTCTACCAAAAGTTGATTTTTGCAGGAAACGAATGGACCAAAGATAGTCATTTCCGTTCCTTTTTACTAACATATTAGAAACAGTTCGAAACTTAGATATCAATTACAATACGAAAAAGTACAAATGAAATATGAGTTGCTTATTGAGTTTTGAAAATTAATTTATTTTTATACATGAAAGAAAACAACCCTTTCGTTGTCATGGAGAAATCAAGAAAGTACTGTAGCGACATCTAGTTTGATTTCGGGAACTAATGTTTTTTTTTATAAATACTTTCTCATTAGTACCGATGGTTCTAACACCATAAATAAGAACTTAATTTAGTTAAAGACCCTGCTTATAAAGAACGGAAATTTCTCTCATTGATTCTAGCCATAGGATACACATTGTAACGATGTTTCTTTTTATGTTACTACTTGTCTTTGTGTACTAGAGATGTCTTTTGGTGGATTGGAATAAATTACTAAGTTTGAAATACTACTATCATATCAATATTCATCATTCTTTATTGTAGACATAATAGTAAAATGAGACAAAACATCGTCAGAACGTTGATAAGATGTCGTATCCTATTGTTAGAATCAAGGGTAGAGAGTTAGGCGGACGCTCTGGAGCTTCTTATTTTTATAAATATTTTTCTTAATCAACACAATATTGTAGTAATCAAAACAATAATTTATATGTTGGTTATCGTCTTAATTATGTATATTATAATTCGGTGGCGCCATCTATGAGCAAAGATTTATAATTTATTTTCTCTTACTGTGTAAGATTCTTAAAGATCATAAATCAGTAGTAAGTAAATTGTCGTGCGTTTAAATTATTCAGACTTTATTATGAATAAAATTATTATTATTGTATGTAATTAAAACTTCTTAATATAAGATATTAATTTTATATAGATGCTTAGTTTATTTAAGGTTTAAAACTAGGTAATTATAACTAGCAATAATTCTCATAGTTCCTCTTTGACAATATAAATACGAATATGTGTAATGTGGTGTGTTAACTGTAGTTATTTATTTAATAGAATAAAAAATATATAGAAAGAGAAAATGTAAAAATTACACATAGTAGGTATTCAATCATGATTTCCATTAACCGCTGCCTATCTATAATGTCTGTTATTATTATTGTATATTAGTAAATACTTAATACATAGTAAAAATTTGGTTCCAAACCTATCAGATTGCATTTTTAATTCAGTAAATTACTTAAAATACAGTGGAAAATACAGAAGTAATTTATTTATGTATTTACTGTAATTATATTACTATATACAATATCATATAGTTACTGAACAACGTTAAAAAAACCCTGATTGAAATAAGATTTGCTTTGGTTTAGTTAAGAGAATGGTACAACAGAATACGCTCCCAAAATAATAACTATTTAAAATATATGTGACAAAATAAATCATTTATAAATACGTATATTACACTTTCATTCTTGCTAAGTGTTATATTTTTCCTATAATTAAATATGGAGCGCCTGTAAAATTATATAACTGCTAACGTATAAAGTGTTTGCTATAATTATTCTGTCAGGCATTACAATTTTTTGCAATGCTGAAGTCTAAATAATTCAGACTTCCACAATATTTTTTCTCGACAACTGCGTACCTTGACAATTTGTGTCTTTTTAGTAAACTGATAAATTAAAAACGTCATTAATAAAAAAATAAAGATACAAAAAATTGGCGCTCCTAATACGTTTACCGAAGCACGCCACAATCGCCTGATTCCAAAGTGACAATGATGGCGTCTATATCGGTTCATAGTTTTTACAAGATAGATCACATATTAATAAAAAAATATTTGTCCACCAAGTTAAGTTTTTTCGATCGTGAGTGCATTAAGATTTTAGTGTGGAAACCGATACCCTCATATCATTAGTGAACGCGACAAAATAAAACTGTGAGTGTAATACCACTCAGTTTAAAGACAATTTATAAATCCTAGGCTTATTACGCACACAAAAGCAAAAGATGAAAAAAATTTAAATTCTTATTTAAATCTTTCAATCTTTAAGAGACTAGCTTGTGTTAAAATCCTTTTCACTTATGAACATTCATTAACACTTAATTGGATGTTTGTGCATCTGTGTGTACTATAAATGTTTATAATTAATTAATTATTTTTTTAAACGTAAGCTTTATATTTTTAGATGCTACAATATATGTTTTGGTAATAATATTAAAAACATTGCAAATTAGGAATTTGGATTTAAATCTTTTAAATATTATTAATCTTTGGCAACATTAAGCAATGTGTATGTATGTATCTAGTAGGTACTACCTACTAAAGGTTCTTTTAAGAAATGCGGTTAATGTAAAGTGTGTTTTCCGAAAATTGGAATTGTATATAATAAAAATGCATGTTAGTATTGGACGTCGTAAACATGTTTTAACATTATTATGATAGAGATCTTTTATTTTTGTTTTAAACATGAAATAAATCATTTGTAAATAATTTGTTGTATCATTTTTCCATTCCGTTTGTAAATAATAAAAAAATATTAAAGTAAGTATCTTAAGTTGTATTATTATTTAAATAATTGACTACAAAATATTATATTTCCGGGGAATATCTATGAGCTTGTTAGGAGTATTTGGATTGGTATCCTACTAAATGTGATAGTTTGTGAGGATATATATACGTTTGTTACTCTTTTAAGCAAAAAGTGCTGAACAGATTTGGATGAACTTTAGGATATGGATAATTCTATTTTTAAGCTTGAATTAACATATAACTTTATACGTAGATACTAGATATTTTAGAACCGATGGATAAGTTTCGACTTTCACAAGTGCTCAACAACCAATATTGACAGCAAATAATGTCCGTGCAGTAGGAAAAATACCCAATATGAGAGGGATATGTGATAAAAACTAGAGAAATAAACAAATTTCCTGGGCATTATTTAATAATGTTCGACACTTATCGACTCTATACGGGTCATAAATTATGAATATATAATATACTGTCCGCGGTCCATTATAATGGACCGCGGACAGTCACTAAACTTACAAAAGCTGTGGTTAAAAGCTCCCCATCAGGCGCAATACTCGCCATATTTGGTGTCTACAGACTTCTAATTTTTTTCCAGAATTTTAATAACTTCTTGTCAGGAAAAAAAAATACCTAATTCATACACGAGAGGCAGGACAAAATGCCAGTGAACAATTTTCTTTTACTGCGTTGGCAAATATTCATCGAACGCATGGATGAATACTTCTCTTAAAAATATAAAGAGCAATAATCGCGAATTTCATGAAAGGCGGGTAATTTATGGAAGATCCTAATATTGGTGTCCGTCATACTGGCAGCGCCACCCCTTGAATTTTGAAATTAATTCTTGAACCATCTTTATCAACAGTCCATTACCTAATAAGGACAAATAACCGAGTAATGGAGATTCGAATTCAAACCAGTCCAGCTGATAGAATTTCGCGAAAGAAAGAGCTTCTACAGTGCTAGTTTAGAAGCTGTATACATATAACATCAGCCCAGCAGCGCCACAATGTTTATTCGTTTCAAAATCCAAGAGGGTGGCGCTGCTAGACTGATGGACACACTTCCTAATATTGTACAAGTTAACGTAAGGACGCTATATGACTACAGGTGCATATTATTGATCAATTCAACATCCAAAAATTTTGTGCTATAAGCACACATACAGAGCAGTATCACATATAAAATAAAAACTATTAATTTGGAATACTAGCGCATTCTCTGGACAGTAAAAATTATTACTTTTAAGATATCACTGTCGGGCAAATAATAAGCCTGTATATTCCATTACGGATATTTAATAATAAACCAATTTGCATGAATCATTTAGCATATAGCAACTATAATGATATTATGATAATCATAAACCCGTATAATTTCAAACAGAAATTTAATCAACCTAGTACTTATAAAGAAATGTTTTTAATGAATGAATAAAAAAAATCTGTAGTACATAACTTTATTTTCTTTTACAACTTTACTTAAAGGTAAACATTAAAATAATAATTGCCTTGTAAAGAATTACAAATACAGTCAACATCACATTGTCAAATTTCTCAAACAATTGAAGTTTGTTGATAGATAAACAGTGTCTTAATTCATTGTTTCTTGATAAATGAAATTATAGAATGTGAAAAAATGTTAGATTCACTTATGTGTAACACCTCTTAAATGGAAATTTGACATTTTATGACCGTATAACTCTAGCCATAGGTTACAACATCTTAGTGATCTTATGGCGATATGTAATTTACTATTTTAACATGTACTTCCGTAACAATGAATGAACGATAAAGAATTATAATTATGGATGCGACTTTGTAATTTATCCAGCAAAAGAAATGTCAAAGTAGTAACATGATACAAAATATTGTCATAACAAGCGATGTCATATTCTAAAGCTAGAATCATGGCTAGAGTTAGACAGTGGCACCCCTGATGTGCTGTACATTACACATTTGGAATTTATATTGTTTATGGTCATTATTATATAAAACCTCTCACTTATCACTGGTGAGACATTATCTTTCGAAATCTATCTATTCCATGGCAAAAATATAAAAAACTGTAACTCTTATAATTAATATGCTAATTCTATATTTTATTCTTCTGTTCTTTCTTGTTCTTTGTCTTTCTTCTTCTTCTTTTTCTTTTCCTTACGCACTGAGTCATCACCACCTTCTGTGGTCACATCTGCAGCCTCTGTGGTTGTATCACCTCCAACAGTTTCATCTAAGTCACGTTTCTTCTTCTTTTTCTTCTTTTCAGACCTAATTTCTGTAGAATTGTTAGGATCATCAGCATTAGCAGTACTTGCTGTTCTTTTTCTAGTACTTTCTGTTTCTACTTCACCATTTTCATTCTCTTTCTTAACTTTATAATCGACATAGCTGTTTAACCATTCTGCTGGTGTATTTTCATTTGGTTTACCATGTTTATCTAGTTTACCTTGGGATATGAGTTGCTTTTTATGAGATGCTTTTGGTCCAAGACCCCATTTCCTCGGGTATGTGTCTCGTTCCATTATAACTCTCTTTAGTTTAGCTGCTACTCCATGATCACATGATGCCATGGTCGACGTGGTCATTAGAGCGATAGCTAATGCTACAGCCTCTCCCTTTGTCGTAACTATTACTATTTCTTGATCTATTTCAATACCATCTTCGTATCTCAAAATGCCAGGCAACAAGACTTTTGCACCGTAGCACACTGCATTGACCGCACTGTCTTTAATAAAGATCCTCTTGTGTGCTATCAATAAGCCCTCCAGGGGTTTAATAACTCTACGAATGTATGATTCATCTTTGTGGTTCTCATATGCCCACTGTGCATCCAAGATATCATGCATTGTAACCATACCTTCTTTTTCACCTTGAATTCCAGATCGAACACGTCGGAGTTCGATCATTTGTCCTCCTACTTCAAGCATCAAGCCCAAGTGAACACACATAGTACGTATATATGAACCCGCTTCACAACTCACCCAGAAAACACCGATGTTACGTTCAGCATCAAAATCAAGCAACTTACTATCATATACTGTGCGAACACGGAGTTGACGTTTAACAGCAGATATGAGGGGTGGTCTTTGAAACAAAGCACCCCTGAGTTTTTCTAAACCTTGAGTGACTTTCTTAACATTTTCTACTGCAGAATGCAAACTAAAAACAGCTACGTACTCTTTACCTGCGTTCTGCTGTGACTTCACTAGTCGCGTCGCTCGGTCAATGCAGACGATGAGGCAGCCAGTAACTTTAGGATCGAGTGTGCCAGAATGACCAGTTTTCTCAACCTTCAAAATGCGTTTTATCCAAGATACGACTTCGTGGGAACTGGGGTTGCTCGGCTTGTCGACGTTGATGAAACCAGACTTGATGTAATCAGTAATAGGTCTTTTCAAAGGCGAATGACCGAACGGCAGTGGTGTATAATGGTTTGTGCGCACATTCAAGCGATCGAAGTTCTTTAATAACAATGGCCAGTAAGCCGTGTCTAACTTGCTTACACTTTCGGAAGGCTCTATTTTAAAATCGCCAATCTTCTGAAATGCACCAAGACTCACAGTCTCTTTGTTTTTCTTCTTTTTCTTCTCGGAGAGCACATCCCCGGCGGGTTGCATTACTTCAGTCATTGCTGTTTATTTAACGGATGTTTCGGGAAAATTACATCAATTATAAATACTACGCACTGTACTTAATGATTTGAACTCCTCAAATAAACAACTGTGTGTAAATTTTTTGAGGAATGAATAAACAATGAATCAAACACGTGCAATGAGCGCGATGCGCATTGTTGTAGGTTATTTTTCAGATGTTACCATGTTACTATTTTAACGTTTCGTTTATTTACTTTATATTTAAATTGCGTTTTATTTTATACACATGTTGCATATAAAATAAAACACAAATTGAATAAATAATTTATATGAACTAATTTTTCCAAATAATAATATTAAACTTTATTAATTTGGAATAGAGATTGTCTAAAATTTGCTAATATTTAAGTGATGGCGATTGTTTTAACAAAATATGATTAAATTCATTTATGAATTTATAGGAAAACGTAAACTTCACTTGAATTAATAATATAATAACAGTTTTACCAAAAAATGTATAACGATGAGTTGTCTACATAATATAACAAAACGCAATCGAGACGTCGGTTGGTCGGTAAAATAATAAAGTGACATTTGATTGTCATTGGAAACGCGCGTCTGTTCGTGCATGTTTCGTGTTATTTATTTTTAGGTGTACTCTTTATATCTATATTATTTGTCCAATTTTATGTGTTATTACTAAATAAAATGGCAGGTGTATTATTTGAGGACATATTTAACGTTAAAGATATGGACCCAGAAGGAAAAAAGTTCGATCGAGTCAGTCGCTTACACTGCGAATCTGAATCATTCAAAATGGACCTTATTTTAGACATTAATTCATGGATATATCCAATGGAATTAGGAGATAAGTTTCGTCTAGTGTTGGCTACAACTCTCAGAGAGAACGGGTACCCTGACGGTGGTGAATGGAATCCTCTAGAAACTGAAGGAAATCGTGCAGACAGTTTCGAATATGTTATGTCTGGGAAAGTGTATAGGTTAGTTAAATAATCCAAAACGCGTTGTCCTCTATGAAGCGAATATACTTTTTAAACTTTAAAAATCCATACTCTAGTATGGCCAATTTCTAGGAAAATAAGGTCTCTAGAAAAACAATCTTGAACTGACACATAATTGACACAACTTTTTTCAAGTGTAATAATACATTTAAAAAACTGCTATTGAATGTAATATGGGTTATATAATATTACAGGATAGAAGGTGATGAAGCTGCTATGGAGCCAGCATCTCGATTAGCAGCTTACGTATCATTTGGGGGTCTACTAATGAGATTACAAGGAGATGCTAACAATTTACACGGTTTTGAAGTTGATCAACACATGTATCTATTAATGAAGAAATTAGCCTTTTAGTTTTATGTAAATAGTCAAAATGTGTATATAACAAGATATTTTTACAAAGGCTATCTTAATTTCAATTATTGAAATAAAATAATGCAATATGCTTCACAATAAATTTGTTGATAAAGCATATTGATGCTGGAAAGCAAACACGTAATAACCTGCAAAACCATAAAGGATATTTAGAGAGGAAAATTCTTTGTATTTTTCTGAATAAAATATCTCCTTTCCATATAAATTAACCAAGGAACACCTTATTTATTACCATGAAGGTTTATAGGAATTATTTATCGAATAAAATGAAAGAATTTGTGCTCTAAAGAACAATTTTGGTTTTACAGGTTATTACGTATTAGCTTTCCAGTGTTGATATGTGTTCATGTAACATCTTATTAAAAACTATCCAAATAAAAATTTGCTAGTTCTAGGAACATCTTAAACAGCCAATATTTCTTTTTTATAACAAAGTATAACACCTGTTAAAATCAAAATAAGTAATGCCTAGTTATAATAAGTTAACTATAAGTTTGATATATTTTTTAAGAATGATTTGTTGTATTATTTTCTAATATTCAAATTACTTTTACACACACAAACATAACTGGCCCCATTATGATGTAACTGTTATATGACTTTAGCTTATGATTTGGATAAAAGGCAAAGTATGCGATATTATGTTTTTGTTAATGTGAAACTTTTTTTCGTATTACTTTGATTTGAAAACCAGTTAAATATTATTTTGAAATAATATGATACTAAAGATATATTTTATCTAAAATAGAAAAACTAAAAAGTATTTAGAATACTAAAACTCTTTTAAAGGTCGTCAGTAGAAAGTTTCTATAAACGAGGAAGTATTTAAAAAATAGGAGGCACTAAAAAAGCACCTCCTCTAGATGGCGACTCTAGCATAAGTGATTTTTGCAGGAAACGAATGGACCTAAGACAGTCATTTCCGTTCCTTTTAACTAACATATTAAAAAACTGAAATTTGAAATGTTCGAAACTTAGATATCAATACAAATCCGAAAAAGTACAAATAGAATATGAGTTGTTTATTGATTTTGAAAACTAATTTACTATTAAACTTTAAAGAAAACCAGAAAGATTGTTATGGAGAAATCAAGAACATACCATAGCGACATCTAGTTTGATTTCAGGAACTAATTTTTTTTTTAAATACTTCCTCATTGCCTGTCAAATAGATGACAACGTGATAGGCCATGCATACACCGCCATCGTGCGTCTAATAGCTTTTTATTATGTCATCCAAGTGGTGAAGTAAACGCCATCTGCAAAGTGTTATTTAAACTATCAAGCAAATGTCTACGAGATGGCACATGTAGCTCTGAATTTTATATTGGTCAAATTTTCCAAGTACAATAAAAAACAGAATTATAATAGACTAAATTATTTACCTAATTATTGCGTTTAATTTCATATGTTATCATGTTGCATTTAAAATAATATTATGATACGTTATTATAATAATAACATGGTAATATCTGAAAAATAACCTACAATAACGCGTATCGCGCTCGTTACACGTGGTTGATTCATTGTTTATTAATTTCACAAAAATGTAACACACAGTTGTTAGTTTATGGAGTTCAAATTATTTAAGTACAGTGCGTAGTATTTATAATTGGTGTAATTTTCCTGAAACAGTTTAATAAACAGCAATGACTGAAGTAATGCAACCCGCCGGGGATGTGCTCTCCGAGAAGAAAAAGAAGAAAAACAAAGAGACTGTGAGTCTTGGTACATTTCAGAAGATTGGCGATTTCAAAATAGAGCCTTCTGAAAGTGTATGCAAGTTAGACACGACTTACTAGCCATTGTTATTAAATAACTTTGATAGCTTGAATGTGCGCACAAACCATTATACACCACTGCCGTTCGGTCATTCGCCTTTGAAAAGACCTATTACTGATTATATCAAGTCTGATTTCATCAACGTCGACAAGCCGAGCAACCCCAGTTCCCACGAAGTCGTAACTTGGATAAAACGAATTTTAAAGGTTGAGAAAACTGGTCATTCTGGCACACTCGATCCTAAAGTTACTGGTTGCCTCATCGTCTGCATTGACGGAGCGACGCGACTAGTGAAGTCACAGCAGAACGCAGGTAAAGAGTACGTAGCTGTTTTTAGTTTGCATTCTGCAGTAGAAAATGTTAAGAAAGTCACTCAAGGCTTAGAAAAACTCAGGGGTGCTTTGTTTCAAAAACCACCCCTCATATCTGCTGTTAAACGTCAACTCCGTGTTCGCACAGTATATGATAGTAAGTTGCTTGATTTTGATGCTGAACGTAACATCGGTGTTTTCTGGGTGAGTTGTGAAGCGGGTTCATATATACGTACTATGAGTGTTCACTTGGGCTTGATGCTTGAAGTAGGAGGACAAATGATCGAACTCCGACGTGTTCGATCTGGAATTCAAGGTGAAAAAGAAGGTATGGTTACAATGCATGATATCTTGGATGCACAGTGGGCATATGAGAACCACAAAGATGAATCATACATTCGTAGAGTTATAAAACCCCTGGAGGGCTTATTAATAGCACATAAGAGGATCTTTATTAAAGACAGTGCGGTCAACGCAGTGTGCTACGGTGCAAAAGTCTTGTTGCCTGGCATTTTGAGATACGAAGATGGTATTGAAATAGATCAAGAAATAGTAATAGTTACGACAAAGGGAGAGGCTGTAGCATTAGCTATCGCTCTAATGACAACGTCGACCATGGCATCATGTGATCATGGAGTAGCAGCTAAACTAAAGAGAGTTATTATGGAACGAGACACATACCCGAGGAAATGGGGTCTTGGACCAAAAGTATCTCACAAAAAGCAACTCATATCCCAAGGTAAACTAGATCAACACGGTAAACCAAACGAAAATACACCAGCAGAATGGTTAAACAGCTATGTCGATTATAAAGTTAAGAAAGAGAATAAAAACGATGAAGTAGAAACAGAGAGTACTAGAAAAAGGACAGCAAGTACTGCTTATGCTGATGATCCTAATAATTCTGCAGAAATTAGATCTAAAAAGAAGAAGAAACGTGACTTGGATGAAACCGTTGGTGGTGCTAGAACCACAGAAGCTGCGGATGTGACCATAGAAGATAGTGATGACTCTGTACACAAAGAAAAGAAAAAGAAGAAGAAACGTGACTTGGATAAGACCATTCGTGATGATACAACCATAGAGGCTGTGGACTTGACTACAGAGGGTCATGATGACTCTGTACGTAAAGAAAAGAAAAAGATAAAACATGGCCTAGAAGAAACTGTTACCGTGGTTAGAAACAGGTGGTGGTGGCTGCGGACGTGACCACAGAAGGCGTCGATCATACGTACGTAAAGAAGATAAATAACAGGAAATTAATACGAATTACAGTTGTTTTTTAGGCCAGTGCCAAAGCCTATGCCGGGTTTTATCGAAACGCTATATTAACTTACTCTCGCGTGGATGATTGTTTAGAGTAAAGACTTATAAAATACTCTAAAGCCCGGGCCAGACAATAACGAAATACTTACAAGAACGCCAGTAGTATGAGCAGTTGTATTTTTAAAGTCTAATTGTAATAAATAATAGAGTGAAGTAATGAATTTATCGAGCTTCTTCAAATAGAACCATATCAATATGGAATAAGAATAATCCTTGTCAACGATGCATAGACTCAAATAAAAAATAGTTATAGACAGTATCTTTTACACATGTAGCCACAAATATTTTGAAAGCAAGTCATGCAGCCTCAAAAATTCATTAGTATTACATTTTATAAATGTTTGCTCAAACCGACTTAAACTTTAATGACATGTCAGGCACCTGCATAATATGCGTATTGAGCACATGTCTAGCACAGCCTGAGTGTGACATAGATGTCACACTCAGGCTGTGCTAGACGCTAGAGCGTTGAATAGCTTAGCCACTTAGTTCTATAATAATCGAGTTGTCATGATTTTGCTACTGACCGTTAGATGGCCAACATCCAAGTGAGCAGAATGTTGGCTCATCCTCTTGCTATAACTATTGTCACATAAAAAGATTATCTTTGCGTTTTCTTCCGTGTTATGTTTCCCCAAAGCCCCAATGAAATTATTATTTATTTTACTGACCCTTCGTATAAATAGAGTCAAGTAGTCAATTTACCAATAAATTAAATATCACCAAATGTTTCAATAAAGAAACACCCCAAAATACGGTAAATTGGTGACCCCAACGTGATAAGATGTCACAATGAGGAAGTATTAAAAAAAATAGTTCTTGAAATCAAACTAGATGTCGCTATGCTACTTTCTTGATTTTTTCCATGACATTCCTTCGGTTTTCTTTCATGTATAAAAGTAAATTAATTTTCAAAACTCAATAAAAAACTCATATTTCATTTGTGCTTTTTCGTATTGTTATTGATACTAAATTTCGAACTTTCAAAATTTCAGTTTTTTAGTATTAACATACATTAAACAGGATTGGAAATTACTATTTTTGGTCCATTCGTTTCCTGCAAAAATCAAATTTTGCTAGAGACGCCATCTAGTAGTATAGGTGCTTTTTTAGTGCTTTCTTTTTTTAATATTTTCTCATATAAAAACGACTATGAATAAAAGATAAAAATATAGTCTCATTTTTACAGTTATCATAGTTGTTTTTTTTTTATTTTGCTTTTAAGACTTATTTGCCCCGGACAAAAAACTCAAAGAGATAACAGATAAGAAGATGACATAATTTTCGAAAGTAACTTTAGTTTTCTATATTAATATTGGAAAGCGGGAAGTTTTATTGTTTGTTTATTTGTATTGAATAGACTACGAAACATACACTACAAAAATATAAATGATGGGTGTAATATGTGTAATATCACAACTACTTCGTGATTTTGTAGCAATATTTAATTTAATTTTACTAGTTTTTGGAGGAAAAACGACTTAGAAAACTACTATCAAATCCATATTATTATTTGTTGTCGTTGTTATGTTAATGCCTTTATATCTATGCATGGAAAATGTAGTAAAATGTACTTTCATATCGACGAACGATTAATTAAGAATAATTATTTTGATTTGACAACACTGCCTGCTGTTATTATGATTTGGTTTTGGCTACTTTTCAGCAAATGGTAATTAAAGATTTAATTTTGATTTTGTGTGTATCTTTGACAATCAAAAGAGTACGTATTATATTGTGGCACATCTGTTTAATAATCTTTGACGTAATCGGTGACATTTGTAATTGTAAGTCGTCGTTCAACATTAAAACAGTCTGAAAGTAAACACGTCTATTCAATTTACCGACCCTCGTATAAATAGTCAGATAGTCAATTAAATAACCAAATATTTCAATAAATAAACACCCAAGTTTATACCCCAATGAGATACGATAGTGTATTTTGCTATAATATCAAAACTACTGTGAAAAATAGAAAAACAGCGCTACATAGTATAAAATAAAGTCGCTTTCTCTGTCCCTATATCCATATGTATGCTTAAATATTTAAAACTACGCAACGGATTTTGATGCGGTTTTCTTTCATTAATAGGATAATTCAAAAGGAAGGTTTTTAATTATAATACAAGACCATGCGGACGAAGCCGCTGGCGAAAAGCTAATAATTATAAAATATAGTCTCATTTTTCTGATCATGAAGATGTCCTGATGTTACGTCAGATTGCCTAAAATCTCGAGTTATTGCACTTATCGTACAGGTGGTAAAACAGTACTACCAACTTGATCATTTATTCCAAATTTATGCTCTAAAAATGTTTTTGTTGCATCCTATGGCTAGAGGCATAGTTAGCCTATACAACATTCACAAAGTGGCATTTTTTTAAAACTGTCTCATGTTGATGTTACCTCTTAACATTGTCACCAATTTTCATTAACTATCATTTATTTTAGTACAAATAAACAAAGTCCAATTAAGCTGTAATTATAAATAAGAAAATTGCATCATAGTTTCGAAGGGTTATATTTTCTCGATAGAAACAAATCAGAAAACTCTCTCATCATCTTAACTTCACTTTTTTTAATTTCTACTGGCAATACGTAAGTATAATCTTTTGGAATAGTAGATTGTGCATTACAGATAAACTAAAATTCAAATACTTTTCTCTTTATAATATTAAAATGGTAAAAAGTCGTTTTGTGCCGGAAAACATATGTGTAATATTTATAACAATGGACCCCAAAACGTCAGGACAAAAGCTCAGAAACAAAGCCAATTAAAGGTTGGTGCACACGCGTCGCGCTCTCATTATACAGCACGTGTGCCGTCATACCGCGCCGCGTGTCGTCGCGCTACGTGAAGTCACGCGTGTGTTACCGCCTTTAGTGCACAATTATTCGTATGATTAAACAAACGATATTCTTCGTTTGATATGTCTTCTCGTTTTTTTTTTCGAAAAATATGTGTTTTGTTATTTTTTACATTTTAATGGACAGCGATTTTTTAATCTAATGAATTCACTTTCCAATGTCTGTATGAAATAAAACCGAGAGAAAAAGCAGCTTGCTGGTTCTTCTCAGTACACGCACTCCCGCCGAAGATTTGCGAATGGATGGCGTTCTTTTCACATTCACAAGTGTTTGTAACAGTGCAATCGGTTCTTTTATTGTTACTAGCTGTTGTCTCGCGGTTCTACCCGCGTTAATTATAATAACGGATATCATCCGCTTAGCTTTCTGTAGATGAAATAATTTTTAAAATCAGTCCAGTAAGTTGCAAAAAAAACACTCAAACCTTTTTCTCTTTATAATATTAGCTTAGTCTTCTTTAGAAACCATTGGATAAAGGTATATTTATGAATTTAATAAATAATTAATATCAATTTGGGTACTTATCTCTATTTTAATTGATAAATTAAAATACAAAAGACTATTATATATTGTCAACACCCCATCATCGAATCACAACAGTAGGTATCACTGGGAAAATTATATCAGGCGAATTCAATATACGGCATCAATTACATTCCGCAATTCAAAACTGTGGTATAATTTGTATTGTTAAAAAACAAAACGTAGGGGTAGGGGTAATATGTAAATCGCCCCAGCAGACTAATTTGGTAATCATCATCATCATCAGCCCTTTTACCCTTGCGAAAGTTGCTTAACGACAACGATCGCGGACCGCGGCGCTTAGCGCTCGATGGCGTAGTGCATCGAGCTAATTTTATTAATGTTTACGTATTATTTGCAACTCAATAGAACCTTGTAGTAGCCTATTAGGCTTGTGTCCTACAAGGTACAAAAACAAAAACCTGTTATATCTTCGAAAAATATTAACTATTTTAACTTATAAATGTTTAACAAAACAAATTTTTAGTCACTGATTTGGAAAATATTACGTTTTGAAAACTTGAAAAAAGTAGTGAAAATCTACTATAAAAATATACTAAAATACATCAAGCATTAAATTATATATAAAAAATGTTACAACTTTCAATAAAACAGCTATAAAAATAAACGCACAAATAACAAAGATATTACAAAAATTGTCCAGACGCCCATACATTTTTCGCTACTGTCACACCGTGTGACGTCACTGAGTGCCTTGAATTTGTAGGTAGCGTTTTCGGTCAACAAGCAGCAGTTCTACAAACACAACACTGTATCTCCGAAACTATTAATCGCAGACATGATGTTACTTCGACATTATTTCTCAGATATTAATGGACTAATTATTTATGAAATAAAAAAAGTAGTCAAATAGCCTATTTTACCAATGTACTATTTAACCGAAGTCTATTATTATTATTTATCTGACACCATTGATGTGAGGAAAACTTAGGACTAATCATATTGGACTTTATGTGATTGTAAAGCAAAGATTAACAGAATTGTTCTTCTAACAATGATATCTTTCCTCTTTATAATCCATCCATCCTCCTGCCCATTATCCCACGTTACGTGGGGTCGGCACAACATGTTTTCTTCTTCCATTCTTCTCTGTCAGACGTCAGCCTCACATCCACACCTTTCTTATTCATATCCTCTAATATTAGTATAGAAAAGGAAAACTCAAAAGCAAACATCGAAACAACTTTTGTGACGGATTGTATTAATGGGTCCAATAATAGCAAAGAAGCAAAATGAAGGATCTCGATGGCGTAGGTGTTTGCAGGTTCTAAGAGGCGGATGTTAAGCAACTTCTGAAGAGACTGGCAGGATGGGTGATCAAAAATTTATGTACGCGAACTTCTCCTTGCTTGCTCCCGGCTGCATCTTGTAACGGTGTGCCGTTTATTTCGTCCTAGGTTTCCGCATGCAAACTTTTTGTCTTTGAAATCAACATCATTTCTTTTTATTATTTACCTTTCGTAATTTGAAAT